TGATTGTCTTTGAACTGTAGAGTAGATCAATATCATCTACATAACTTGAAGATCTCACTATTTTTATCTCTCTATTCTTGAATAGATATGCAGTGTATATTGCAAATAAAACAGATGAGATTAAAGATTCTTGTGATACTTCTATTTTTATCTCAGTTTTATCTTGTTTTCTTCCATCAAAGAATAGTTGTATAATTCTTTTAGATATGAAACAATTGACTCATTTTATTAGAGAAAGTGGCAGTTTTAACATCTTCAAAGTTTGAATCATCTTAGACTTTGACACATGATCAAATGCATCTTTTATATCAATAAAAACTGCAGTTGAGACCAGGCCTTCATGCTTTGCTACTTGAATATCATGAATAACTGAGAGAACAGTATCAATTGCAGAACATTGTTTTCTACCTCTCATTTATTCATTAAATAGAAGAGAATCACTAATAGAGCTTATAAAAGATAATCTAGTAGCTATTATCTTTTCTAGAATTTTTTTCAAACAGTTCAACAGAGATATTACTCTATATGACTTAGGAATTGAAGTCTTTCTATTAGGTTTTGCAAGGATTACTTCAGTAGCTTCTCTCCAGCATTCAGAATGATAATCATTTTTTAAGAGATTGAAAAAGAGCTTAAAATATTCATTCTTCAAGTAGAAATATGTGTTTTGAATAATTGAGTGATTAATTGAATCAGGCCCTGCAGCAGTTTTAATTGAACTTGAGAATATTGCTGACTCTAGTTCATCATATGTAAGCTCAGGCCATTTCCAGTTATTTTCATCAATATATTCATGAAATGACATATTCTTCTCTTCTAAATGTGATGATGAGTTTTGAAAGAGAATTCTTATAAAAGCTTGACATTTTTTCTCAAAAGAATTTGCTGTATATAATTCATTCTGAAATTTATATTCTAACATTGAAAGCTTTGCTACACTTCTTATTTTAGTATAGTTGAAGGCTTTGAAAACTTCTTTTTCTTATGCTTCTTCAAGAAATTTGTTTCAGCAATCTGTTTTGGCTTTTTTAATATCTGAAAAATATTCATTTTGAATAGCTTTGAACTCTTCATCAGATATTAAGTGATGCTTTCAATCTCTCTTAGCAGTGACTAATTGCTTTCTTTTAGAAGTGATATTCTCATTTCACCAAGGTTTGAAATACTCAGAAGACTTTTTCTTTGAAATATTTTCTTCAATACTTGTTAGAAGAATAGATGTAATCAGCTTTACTCTATTCTTAAGCATTTCATTTGATATATCTTGACTTTGATTTCAATAGAGCTCACTCTGTCTTTCAGATTTCAGCTGTTTTACTCTTTCTTCAACTGCTTTTCAATCAGCTTTTTCAAAGTTATACTGATTAGAGAGAAGAGGATTTTCACTTCTTTATTTTTCACTCAGTTCAATATCAAATTGAATGATCTCATGACCTGATTCTGAGGTTTCATTTGAATCAATAAATCAGTTTATAAGTCTTTTTTTAATTAGATTTTATGACATGAAAGTTAGATCTATAATAGATTTCTGTTTCATGCCTTTTCTAAAGAATGTTTGTTGATCAGACTTGTTAACTAAATCTATTGAATACTCAAAAGTTCATTCAACCAGTTTATCTACTCTTACTGCTCTTGTGCACTCTGAGTTCTATCAGGAATGATGTGCATTGAAGTCTCCTGCAATTATAGAGTTTTTTAAGAGAGTTATATTTAAAAATTCTCTATCAATTGTTCAGGTATTGTTGTTTTCTTTCAATGATTTTTCATTATAGATATTTATAAGTTGAATAGTATGAAACTCATTATCTTTATCTATAATGTCACTCACTAGAATGTCAGAGTCAGATATGATATCAAATCTCAGATTAAATTGATATCTTGATCTTTTTCTCCCATAGATTGCTACTCTTGATTTTATCTCAGATTTTTCAGAAAGAAAGTAGTAATAGCTTGAATGAGAAATGATGTACTTTTACTCAGTATTAAAATTTGGTTCTTGAAGAAGTACAAAGTCAACTTTTTGTTCAAATGCAATGTGAAGACAAGAATAAATACAATTTGAGTTTCTATCCACATTATTTTGAATAAATGTGATTTTTGAAGAGTTTTTAAACTTTTTTTGTTGTTTTTGTTGTACATTCATACTAAAAGAGAGTGAAGATATAGTAGAATCTAATCACTATCATCAGATAGTAGATTATAACTATTTTGAAAAGCAGGAATCTCAACTGCTTGCATTCTATCTAGTTTATTATCAGAGTCATTTCTCAATTCTCTAATCTTAACACGTGTTTGAGAATTCAAATTCTGTTTACATTTAGCTGAAGAATTGAAGTTTGAAGACCTAGATAGTTGAGAGTTTCTTCTTTTTGAGCTTGCAGTTATGGATTTACTAGCTTGACTTTTCTCTTCAGTTTTAGATTCACTTTGAGCTTCATCTTTTCTCCAGTTCTTCTGAGTTCTTGGAGCAAATACACATTCTTTTGAGCTAGATATATGTTTTTCTTTACAATTGAAGCACTTAAGCAGACTATGTTGACATATTTCACCTCTTTTTGAGCATGTTTCACATTTATGCTTACTAGTTTTATGATCTCTAGCATAGAATGCGCATTTTGAGTCTCTGAAACAAGAGATTGCAAAGTGTTCATATCTTTGACAGTTTAAACACTGTGTTTGAGCTTTGAGATTCATTCTTGAATCTTTGTATTCATGAACTCTCATTTTCAAACCTGCTACTCTTACTTCAGAGATTCTTGATTGTTCAAGTATCTTTGTATATACTAGAACAGAGACATTTCTTCTGCTCTGTCTGAACTCAATTGAATTAAGTCATACAGGCTCTTTTCTCAGTTGAATAGAATTGTATTCTTCTAATTCATTTTTGAGAAGCAGCATTTCTTCCTCACAGTCAAAAATTTCAACTGGAATATCATGAAGAATGAATTTGTCTCACTTTTCATCTCTTTCAGATAGAATTGTTGTATTCAGTAGAGATTCTATTGCTGATTTTCAGAGATTCTCATTCTGAATGAGGAATTCTGCACTGAATTCAGACATTGTAGTCAAAATAATAGAGTTTTCAAAGAAAGATGGCTCAATTGAAGCTATGACTGGTTTTTGAACTTCAATATCAGTTATTAACTGAGAAAAGAACTGCTGATTAATTTCATTTCTATTTCTGAAAATGAGATTTGAGTTTAGCTTGTTTTTTTGCAAGCTCTTCTGATTTGAGACTTTGAGAATAAGTCTTCTGTTTCTGAAGATTTGAAAGTTCTTCTCTTTTTATATTTCTTTTTTTTCCTTTCTATGAACAGAGGTCTGAGAAATATTCTTCTCAGTTTTCTCAGAATTTTGAGCAGATTTTGAACTAGCAGGTTTGGAGACAGCAGATTCTGCTACTTGAGTATATGTTTTCTTCTGATTTGAAGAAGAAGATGAAGAAGTAGAAGATGAAAAAGAGTCAGTGACTGTACTGAAAGATTTCAATGTTTTTTGAATTGTGTTTGAAATTTCAAGTTTGAACTTGATCACTTCTTGTAGTTGTCTAGCCTGAGCATGAAGAATTAACAGAACTTCTTCATTCTCCTCACTCAGACACTGTTTTTCAAGAATTTTGCTTGCTTTTTCCAGTTTCTGTATTTTGAGAACTTGTTATTTCTCTATTTCTTCCTTCTTTCTTCTCTTTAGAATTTCAATCTCAGAAATGGCATCTGGGAAAACATCTTTTTCCACATCAACTGAGTGTACTCTTGAACTCATTTTACTCACTGAATGAAAAGTTGATCAGACTATTTCAATTGAGAGATTTATCAGTATATTTTCAATTGAAAAGTTGGTCAGACTGTTTCAATTGAGAGGTTTATTAATCTATTTTCAAATGAAAAGTTGATCAGACTGTTTCAGTTGAGAGATTTATTAGTCTTTTTTCAATTGAAATGTTGATCAGACTGTTTCAAAAGAAGAATGAAAGACTTTTATATATAAAACACCTGATTTTTTTCACACTAGTTCAGTAACTAGATTAGATTTTTGAAGAGAATCTAATAAACTAAAAGTGATTTTTAAGATAAATCAATAAAATCTTTACAAACTCTTTCTTGAGATACAGTGAGGAAAAGTATGATATCAATTGATAATAAATCAGATAATATGACAGTTTTTGAGAGAAAAACTGATAAAAAATAAGTCAATTTTTTGCAGAGAAATTGATTAAAACTATTCAATTTTATTCTAAATTATTCAATTCTTCTCACACAACAAGTGTGCAACTCAAATCAGTTAATAAAGAGTGTAAAAGAGAATTAAGTATTAATGAAAGCTCTTCAGCCACTGAAAAAGTAATTCTTACTTAAAAGAATATGAAATTATGACAGAAAACAACTCTGTTTTTAATTCTTTGTAAGAATATTGTGTAAAACTCAGAGAAAAACACCTTACTTTTTCAAGAGAAGTAAAAAACTATTTCTAAGATCTTTTTTTTTTTTTGCATTAACTGCTGCAGAAGAATGAGATAGAAACTGCTAAGATATACACTACTGTATACTCTCTATCAAGACTTTCTCTCTTCAGAGTCTTGATATTATAGAGAATATAAGTCTGTTTCTATATAATAATGTAAATATTGTCAGTGAGATGTAGAGAAACTGGTTATTTATATCTTAAAATAGAAGACTTTGTCAATGATTATATCAATATAGAGTTAATTCTTAAATTCAATGAAAATCTAGTGTTGCTGTTCTCAATTTCTTACAGAATCTATTGAATATTGAGATATTAAAACTAGATTTAATATATCTCACTGTGCAGGGATTAAAGGCTCAGTCAGATCTTGAGATATACTGATTTTATAGTTATTAATGTGCTGTTGACTCATTGTTCACTAATTATGTATTGAATACTATTACTAAGATATCTTTTTATATCATTCTGCTGAGAATGAGCCAGATTGAGAGGAATAGAACAAGGGTGAGACTTGGTGTTGAAGTCTAGATACACAGGTGATGAACTGTGAAGATTGCACTTCAGAAGAGTCTGTTGATTATGTGCTTGATATTATTACTGAGATATCTTTTTGTATTTTTCTGCCGGGGATGGGCCAGATTGAGAAGGACGGTACAAGGGTGAGACTTGGTATTGGTGTTTTGGAACATCAAAGATGGACAGGGTTTTCGCGGAGATTGCTCCTTGGATATCTCCACAACTACAGATCAGGGATCTTCCAAAATTGAGAAGATTGGTGCATATGACTAGGTCACTTCACCTTACAATTTGTATGGCACTCTGGCCCGGGGTTGTGGTGTGGTAGGGGAGAACAGGGGATAATCCCACACAGGAGCTTTGAACAACGTCCGGTTCACATTTGGCTGGATAACTCCACCACCACACAGGGTATGCGGTCGGCGATGGGGTCAGAATGCTCGTATGATCAAGGGCTTTTCGATGGATCTATCGGCGGGTTCTTATTCGAAAAATCGAGCGAGTTCGTGGTGGAGCGGTTTGACAGTAGCAGCAGATTTTAAGACTTGTTAAAATTTCATTAACTGTCTGTCTATGAGTTTATATTCAATTCAATAATATAATCATATCTGACTTAGTCAGCTGATTGCAGCATCATTTTTTCAGTCATCATTGAAGCTTGATAACTTCAGCAGATCTCTCAGCTTGATGTATTTCATACTTAAATTCTCATTCTACACAGTAGTCTCTGATAATATATACACTTCTGAAGAGATTGTGAATAATTGTGATAAGATCTTCAGATTCAGTGTAGTTATCTATCTGTATAAACATTCAATCTTCTGCTGCAGATCTAAGATCTGGTTTTCTGTATTCTTATTAATGATGATGATTGTGTTGACAAAGCTCTTCATAGTGAATACTTGATCTGCAATGAATGCTAATTATTGTTTAACTTTCATCTCAGTCTGCTACTGTGTATGCAAGACCTCAATCTCATTTAGAATTCTTGTATATGTACAGAGCTTCAATTCTGATTCAGTGATTTCAGCTGCTTTTCTTACTGCTTTAAGTAAACTCTCTGAGAGGTTCTGCATATCTTTCAGTTCAGGTAGCAGAGAAGAGTGTTATTTATATTGACTAGAAAAGATATTCATTTCAGTGATTTCTTATTAATTATATGATGTCTATTATTATATCACTGTATCATTATATCACTATATCATTCTATTACTATATCATTATATCACTATATTGTTATATGATTTCTGTTATTATTGTATGACTCCGGTGATGATCATCTCTCTCTTTTTATTCTTCTTTTGAGTAGGAAGTGAACTTCTTTGAATCTGGTTCACTGCTCTCATTTTCTTTGTTACATCTCATCTGTTCACATCTCACACATGACATTTACCTAGGTGTGGAGTTTTCCCTTAATAAGCAAAGAAGCATCAATTGAATGCTCTTTCAATCACTGCTCTTTGTACACTATCTTTTAAGATGTTCTAGAACCACACTGGCATGATAACTATAAATTGCTTTGTAGACAGAATTATCACACTCTGAAGAAGCCTGCACTTCTCACCAGTTTTTAGACATGCTATCAGATGTGATTCAAAGATTGCTTAAGCCAGTGTATAATTACAGATGTATGCCAGCTTCTTATATATTGTAATATCATATGCTAAATTAATTAGTGGCCGCTATGACCCCCCCCTCTTTACACTCGTAAGCTAGTAGTTCGGAAGCGGCCGCGTTATTATCCGACAGTCATACGTTCTTCCGAATCACATTCATAAACATCACAGAGACTTCTGTGAAGATCTGTGAAGATCAGATGAAGTCATTCTTCAGATTCTTCTTCACATAGATCTGTAAGATCTCTGTCTTATGATGAAAGAGCTTATAGATTAATTCTCAGAAGAGTTTCTACTCTTCTATTAAATCTATTATCAGATTCTTCTCATAGTGAGAAGAAAGCTCAGCTATCTTTACTGAACTTAATATCTCTGCAAGATCTCAGTATTTCTCTAATATCTGAAACTCAGTTTTCATAACTGTGAGATTCTCAGATACTTATAAAGTTATTATTTAGATAAGCTTATCTTCTCTAATTAACTCTGCAGTGTTAACTGATTCTATCTCTGTAAGTGAGTCTGTCAACACTGATTAGAAGTATAAACCTGACTTGCAGACAGTTATGTGTCAATTGTGTCTTTAAAGTTATACAAGTCTCAAGTACATATCATCTGTAATATTTATAATAATCACAGTTTCTGCAAATTTTCTTCAGATTTTAGAGAGATCTTGTAATTCAAAGATGATTTTTATAAGTCTCTCAGCTCTCAGATCTGAGTTCTCACACTCTGCTTATTATAAGAGCAGATTCTCACTTTTCATCTTTCAGCTTATTCACTCTGTGAGCTTTAGAAACACTACAGTGACCTGAGATTCTGAGTTTATTAATACTTTTCATACTTATAGAGTAGTAGTATTATAGTACAGTCTCTTCTTATAAGTAAGTATTTTTATCAGAGAAGTAACAGATTCAGATATCAGCTTTAAGACTCTTAAGAAGACTGTTACTGACTCTGTCTGTGACTTCTCAAATTTCTATTTTAGTTTATTCAGACAGTTTGTGTGAAGATGTTCTAATTTAGAATAGATGAAGTAGAGTCTCTTTTTCTTAATCTCTCTATTATACACTCTGTTTACAGAAGCTTGTAAAGCTCTCTCTCTCTACTCAGCAGTCAGATATGAATCTCTCTGTGTCTTATTATCTTTTTCTAACAAATCTGTTCTCTGTTATTCTGACTCTTATAGAGTCAGTCAGTGATCTGCTCTCTATAAGTCTGTAACTCTTACAGTGATCTGTAAGTAGTAAATAAGAGTTATCAGTTTCTGCAGAGTCAAGAACTTAGAGTCTTACTCAATGAACTTATTCTGTATATCTTTATTCAGTCTCTTTATAAATATTATTATTCAGATCTTGTTTCAGAACTCTGTTTTCACAGATCTTAATTCATATCATAATTTTATAAAGCACTGTGAGTAGTCTTTATCAGATTTCTCATCTTCTTTTCTAATATTGATGATCACAGCTCAGATGTTCTCTGTCTGACTTGTAAAGTCTCTTAACTTATTCTTTAGATAGATCTTGAGAACAGATTAGTGAGATCTCTTATAATCATTCTCTAGATAATTCAGTCAGTTTTTGACTTCATTGTAATAGAGATCTGTTATTATATAGATAATAGCTTCTTCATCTTTCATATTACATAATCAGACTTGTAAGTCAATTTCAAATACCAACTTATAAAAGCTTTTATAGATTATAATTCAATAAGTAATCTTAAGTAGTCACAGCTTAAGAAAGTTTCTTTTCAGTTTATAAATATCTCTGAAGATTATGTCTAGAGACTCAGTTCAAGAGTGTTTACAGACAGTAAGTATTTCTTATAGAAAAATAGCTTAATCTTATATAAGATACTTAAGAATGTTCTTCACTGAGATTAATTTATTTATAAGTTCAGAGAGTTTCTCTGTCACAGATATAAAGAATAATGTTCTATAAGTGATTAATAAGTTCTCTGAGACTTCTTTTATAAGAGCTATTCATAATTCAGATGACTGCTTCTAAGTGTCTGTAGTAGAGTTCACAGAAATTAAAGTATACAAGTTTCTAGTTCTTTTAGTCATAACAGACAGTTGCTGACTAACTGAGCTTGAAATATAAGAATAAGTGCTTATAAATGATTATTCAGGTGTTTGCAGCTTAGCATGATATGTACTATCAACTACTAGCAGTATTCACAGTAGAAAGATAAAATGTAGAGATCAAATGTATAATAGCATTCAAGCTGAGTTGTGAATAGTATTCGCGAACTTCAGTCTATATAGTTGTGTGTAGTCAAGGGCCGCTAGCTCTATTGATTACATGAGAGATAGAAATAGAGGTAAAGAATCCGCGAGGAGCGGGATTTCTTATACTCTACAGCATTAACTGATTCTATCTCTGTGAGTGAGTCTGTTAACACTGATCAGAAGTATAAACATGACTTATAAATAGCTATATACAGATTATGTCTTTAAAGTTATACAAGTTTTAAGTATATATCATCTATAATATCTGTGATAATCACAGTTTTTACAAATCTTCTTCAGATTTTAGAGAGATCTTATAATTCAAAGATAACTCTTATAAGTCTCTCAGTTCTCAGATCTGAGTTCTCACACTCTGTTTATTATAAGAGTAGATTCTCAGTTTTCATCATTCAGCTCATTCACTTCATAAGCTTTAGAGATACTATAGTGATTTAGAATTCTGAGTTTATCAATACTTTTCATACTTGTGAGACAGTAGCACTGCAGTGTGATCTCTCTTCATAAGCAAGTATTTTCATCAAAGATGTAACAGATTCAGATATCAGCTTCAAGACTCTTAAGAAGACTGTTACTAACTCTGTCTGTAACTTCTTAAATTTCTATTTTGATTTATTTAGACAGTTTGTGTGAAGATATTCTGATTTAGAACAGATAAAGCAGAGTTTCTTTTTCTTAATCTCTCTGTTATACACTCTATTTATAGAAGCTTATAAAGCTCTCTCTCTTCACTCAGCAGTCAGATATAAATCTCTCTATATCTTATTATCTTTCTCTAACAAATCTGTTCTCTGTTGTTCTGACTCTTACAGAGTTAGTCAGTGATTCACTCTTCACAGATCTATGACTCTTACAGTGATCTGTAAGTGATGAATAAGAGTTATCAGTTTCTTCATAGTTAAGAACTTAGAGTCTTACTTCATGAGCTTGTTCTACATGTCTTTATTCAGTCTCTTTATAAACATCATTATTCAGATCTTATTTCAGAGCTTTATTTTCACAGATCTCAATTTATATCATAATTTTATAAAGTACTGTGAGTAGTCTTCATCAGATTTCTTATCTCTTTTTCTAATATTAATAATCACAGCTCAGATATTCTCTGTTTAGCTTGTAAAGTCTCTTAACTTATTCTCTAAATAGATCTTGAGAACAGATTAATAGAATCTCTCATGATCATTCTCTAGATAGTTCAGTCAGTTCTTGACTTCAGTATAGTAGAGATCTGTCATTATATAGATAATAGCTTCTTCATCTTTCATATTACACAGCTGAGCTTGTAAGTCAACTTCAAATACAAACTTGCAAAAGCTTTTAAAGATTGTGATTCAATAAGTGACCTTAAGTAATCATAGCTGAAGAAAGTTTCTTTTCAGTTCACAGATGTCTC